GCGGCATCTCATCGTCATGCGACCTCACGATGAGCCCAACTGTACCAACGGGCAACAGTAAAGAGAGGATGAGGCCGAGAGTGGAGGAGGGTGTAGAAGAGAAATGGAAAAAGAAGGACGAGGAAGAGGAGGAAGAGGCTTTGCTGGCCCAACTTGGCGACAGCGCAAGTGTAGTGCTGGACAAGCTGACGAGCGGCAGGACAACGAGTCAACCAAGCTTCACGTCACGAGCCTCTTGGCGACTACCGCATCCGGTTCGTAGACCATCGAGGCCGTCCAGGATTTGTGGTACCACCGAGAAGGCCCCGACAGAGCCCACTCTGTTTGCTTCGTCTCCGGCCTCGACAGACCCACTTCCCTCCTCCTCCTCCTCCCACTCGTGCTGCTCATCCTCTGCCGCCTCTTCTCTCGCACCCGAGGCCGGACTCGTCAGTCTCCGAGCCGCTGGCGTCGGGGGCGTGGACGCCTTTTTCAGCCTCACCATTGGCAGACCGTCCGGGGCCGTGTTTTGTCCCCCGAACAGGTACCCCTTTGCGTTGGAGCCCTCGGCCACCCGGTCCATCGGGTAGCCCAAGTCTTGGCGCTCTGGTAGGCAAGCCGAAAAGCCGGCAACACCGTCCACATGACTTTGCAACCTCATGTTTCGCCTCCGCAGCACAAGTCTGCCGCTGGACGCGAGTTTGTTCTCGTCTCCTCTCGACCGGGTCGAGCAGTCTTCCATCGCGTCCTCCTGTCTTGCGACCCACCAGATGGCCTGAAACCAACCAGCTCGTCCGTTGGAGCGCGAAGATATCGGCCAACGGGACATAACAACTGCTTTGAACCTCCAGCCTCAACCCGAGGCAGCTCTCTCAAGCGCCCCAACGGATGCACAAATCTTTAGTCTTTTCTTCACCAACTTGTTCTCTTCCATCGAAGGTACGCTCTACTTCGAGTTGAGAGATCATATTTGTACACCACCTTTGTAAAGTCGCTATCCATAAATCTTGAAATGCCGAGAAATATTTGCTTATTTTCGCTCCGGTGCACGACGAAGAACAAGTCATTAACCACATACAAGCCGACCCGGTGGTACGAGATGCCTCACCAATTGAGAATGTGGTTGGCAACACAACGTAAAAGTTTGTTGTGCCCCACTTAGGCACTTTGCACACACACACACATACAACGGTCATGGGAAGCATACAGACAGATAGTGTAGGCAGCAAAGACTGACGAAGGAAGGTTTCACAAGAGAAA